TTGGAATCCGAGCTTTCGCTACCGCCCCTTCTTATTGTGTGGCACATTCGGGTGCAGGTTCGCGCCACGCCGGCCACTTGTGTTTAATTTCGCTACCGATTTTTATGAATTTGTCTTGACATCAACAGTGGAGAATGCATCCTCACGGTAAATCAGTGCATACTTCCTTGTAGTAATCCGGACGCGTTAGAATCTACCGGGAAACGCTAACAGCCATGTCTAGGAAACCTAGCAATTCTCCTTCTCCCAGAACGGATAGTCAGCACAAAATGGCTTCTTTCGAGACTAACTCATTAAAGCCTGGAGAAGGATGTATGGCATTCAGAGGGGGTCTGTTTGGTCTTGTCACCACGCCCAGTTCCACTCGTCTTGTCGCGTCTGCCGAGGCAGGTGGACGAAGGAGGAGAGAGCGCGATAGATTCTGCGCAAGTCCACCTTATTATAAGTGGATTCGCGACAATGCTGCACCCTCTGTTTTGTTTGCCATGGGCGATCTGCCATGCAGATGGACTAGTAAAGAACAGTTCTCGTGTTCTTTGTATGCCAACCCCCGCGGATGCATGCCTCGGTTCTAATGCTTAAAAATGTGCTCAGGCGGCCTATATGCGTACTTATTTTGTCCACACTTGTTTAGCTTGTTTGCAATGTCGATGTGAAGTTGTGGGAGAAAACACTGCTCCACTCAACCATGCATGTCTAAGAAAAGGATATGGTATACAGCCGGGGTCAGCAACCGCTAACTCAAACCCCAACCCTTAATCTTAACTAGAAACATCACCCTTACCCTCACCCCTGACCCTAACCCGAAGTAGAACTTAACCGAACAACGCCGAAGTTGCGGGGAAATACGGTAAACTCCAACCAATCGATATCTAGGCTATGTAAACGGGCACTGTGCATAAAACAGACGTATGTTCAGACCCCGTCAGTGCCGCTGTTTACAGCAGCATAGCCGAATTCCTACGTCAAACTTGCTCGAACTCACCAGCGGGTTAATTTCCTGCATATCTCCCCAATGTTTCTTCTCTCACCCAAAACAAACGTAACGATTCGTCTACCTGACTGCATTTTACCCTCTATAGTAGTAAAGGCAGGATAGCATTGCCGACAAAGACAAGGGGACTGGAATACTCATTTCAGGCTTATTAGCCGTCATCAGCCAGTCGTACTTAACCCCAGGTTTTGCGACCACCGAGGCTCGAACGCGCGACCTGTAATTTGGAAATCCACAGGCTATTTGCTCTGTCGATTGCGATCGGGTGTACTGTCTCAAGGCACAACCTCGGCTGATCGATGAACGCCCCTTTACTATTTAATCTCTCTCTATTTAGAATTGAATTTTTTTGGTTAAAACTCATTCGCATGTCCATATACTTGTCCATCGACCCACTACATTAAATTTACCATTTCCTTGATTTAGGGGAAGCTGGAGGAGCGCCTCCCCCTGCTGGCAGTCCTCTTACCGCGTCGATTGGTTAAGGCCTGGCCAGACGCTCTCAC